CCTTCCCTACAAAGTAAATCATGGGTGGTCCCACCTGCCATTCCCACACTCCTGGTTAGATGGGATCAAACCAGGGACCTGGGGATGTTGGTAGTATTATCACTTCGTCCCCATGCCACCTAAGCTACCCGCAGTGGGCAAACCGCCTGTTTAACTTGTGCCCAGTGAGCGTTTGCATCCTTGTCATAACTTATTCTGTTCATAGTAAAGTTTGCTCCTACTGAGGATAAAATGAGAGAGGATTGACTTTGCTTCTGATTATGTGCAACAGAGGCCACAAAATACACCAATTAGGGGAAGTAATAATATTATAATTGATGGAGCAAGTGGGATTAAATGTAGGCATGCGATAGCTTGGTTGAAAGATTTAGAAGGATATGGTAGTTGTTAATTAAACAGAGGAGATGACCTTTAACCAAACCGAATGGGAGAACTGAAGTCAAGCAGGTGAGCTGAAATTTGGGATAAATGCTTGTTGTTTTTGTCACTAACCTATTCTTTGATAATATTTGCGGCATCTACATATTTGACTGCTATCATTTAGTTGGTTAGCACGATTGATTTAATGGTATTGTGGATGTTTGTAAGGTATATTAGGTTTTCTAGAACCAGTTACCCATGTTCACTTTTTGAGCTTGTGGTGTCGTCTTGTTTTTATCAAAAATCACTTTATCCAAAAGTGTTTTAGTTTTTGATTGTGGAAATCTATATATATATAATATATATATATATATTATATATATATATATATATATATATATATATATATATATATATGAGAAAAATAGAAAAAACTGGTACAAGTTGCTCCAAGCAACTTGGTAGTTATATGGCCTAATCTTGTCGCCTACATCTACATTGGAGTTGTGAGGGTGGTTGAGGCTCTATCTTGAGGTGTGATGTAGGGCAAGATTAGGCCATATAACTACCAAGTTGTTTTAAGCCAACTTGGTACCAAGGTTCTCATTTTCCTCTATATCCTATCATCTATATATATATATATATAATATATATATATATATATTATATATATATATATATATATATTATATATATATATATATTATATAATATTTAATTTGTCATGTGGGACTTTTAGGCCAAGTGAAAAGATTAAATCTGAACTTTTCTTAAAATGGATATATAAATAAATTTGTGTATTTGGCGATGATGATGTTTGAATTCAGGATCTCTTAGATTTTGGAGTCCTCTGAGCTATGTCAAGAACCAGTTTACCCAAACAGTTAAGCTTTTGGGTTGTGCATTAGCCATGTAATCAACTTAATTTAATTGTTAATAAATAATTGGTTGTTTCTATCGAATTATTCATTTAGATCTGTTTAACCTTATGGGTTGCTTCTACTAGTCTGCTACTCTCAATAGGTTCCAGAGAAAGCTACATGACGTCATACTTGCCAGTTTTCTTAGGTGAAAAACTATGTGATTAATATGCTTTATATGCTTTTACCTTGTTAATCTCAGAAGTCTGTTAGGCAGTAAGTTCCATTACGTGTTTGCGTATTAGTGTGCCTTAACTCTCCTTATATCATGTAGAAGCTATGTAGTTTCTAGCAGAAGCTACATTATAGCTGATACTTCTCATCTTTCTTGGTGAAATGCTTGGTGCTAGTAAGCTATATTAGCTGATACTTACTATATTTGACGTCAGTGTTCAAGTAATAAATCTCCAGTGTTTGTGTGTGTGCACCCATCTCCAATGTGTGTGTGCGCGTGCCCTAATTACATCAACTTATTAACTGTTATTTTTCTCAGGGAAATAGGAAATGCGCAATAAACTACATCTCCTGATACTTGCTATTTTTCTCAATGAAATAATAAGTTCCATATAGCGTGTGCAAGTGTAAGCATTTGTGGAAGTGTGGGTCAAGGCTTCCAATTTAATTGTATAGGATTTATCAGAAACAAATGAGGGTTAGTGCTGGAGCAAGACTAAATTTAGAGGAAACTACATAGATATACTTACCAAGCTATTACTACTGGTTCTGAACCCCACAATAAATTGCGCCAAATTCCTCACTGAGAGAACCGTAAGTCTGTGCGGTCTGTGCTGTAATTTCAATGAAAAGTTACCATGTAGGCGTGCATGAATCTTTACGGCTATGTAGCTTAAGTTCAAGTAAATAATGTACAACCCCTATTGGATTTCCTTAGACCAGGAAAGATTCTGCAGTCTGCACGAAGAAGTAAGTTGATAATGTTCCTGTATGAAACCACGTTGGTCTTTAAGCCACAAATAATCGAAAGGGTGGAGCCACTGCCCTTGTTTTCAGTTAGTGTGTCTAGATACCTTAAAATTGCAAGTACAAATTGAACTATTTCACCGGGAGGGAAGAAGACTTTTAAGTGCCATTTCTCTCATTGCTTACTGTTCCGCGATTATAGAGATAATATCTTACAGATTTAGCTAATGTCTGAGTTTTCCAAACTATTACACTATGTAGGCATTTAGGTAGTAGACATCTGGAGGTGGATGTGGGTCTTGATGTGCTTTTAGTTTTGATTTGATTTTTTCTTTCTTTTGGATGTCCTAATCTATAAGGTCTTCTTTTGCTGAATGTTCTATTTTCCAAAATGAGGAACCTTTTTAAATTCTAGTTTATTGATTTTCATATTTTCTCTTGTATATATATTATAGAAATAATAAAATTTTAAAAATAATAAGTCTATTAAACAATTAAAGACTACTAGAACTTACAATTTGTGTTCGACTAATATCACTTTTCTATTTGAACTAGCATTAAAGGTAAACAGCAAGTAACCACAGTTGAACATTGTTCTAAAAACTCTATTCTGAATTTAGGTTCAATATGTTACTTAGCTACTTCTATAGTGAAGCCGTGCCCCTACCTGGCTACCTGACACATAGTGGACTCCGACTTGAACTGGACACCCAACATGTACCGCACACTCTTTGGGCACTTCTATCATGTATCGTACGTGTATCATATACCAATGCTCCTTGGACGCTCCTTGAATATGCGAACATTTACTTGAACTTGTATTCAGTTATGTACTTACATAATACATGTTTAATCAATAACAATCGTTATACACTTCTTGGACGTTTATCCTACACTTCATATTCACTTCCTGGACTATGATTTTAAATGTCGTTTGGGTATCTTGTTCAAAAATGAGTGTTTTTTCAATTTTGAATCTACATAATAAAAGAAACATAATAATGTCATGGAAATTTTAAATCTCATAATAGGTGCATGAAAAAAATATTGATGATTTTATATAAATTATTAATTTCAATATATTTATATTGCTGTGTCCCTGTACCCTACCTTTTACAAATTTTCATGTCTTGAACTCATACCTATACCTGTGTCCATGCAACATAGAGGTTAATGGTTCCCTATTACTAAAAGTTTGTATCTTTTCTTGAAACCAATCTCTTCAGTTGTTTAATTTAATTGAAGCAGTAACTACGAATTCCCGAGTTAATCAACTACTTGCATTTGAGGATAACAATAAAATAGTGATATTTGTACAAGGCTACACATCTTAGACATCCTACATGTGTGTGTGTTTATGTGTTGTATATTCCTGTATGTGTGTTGCTCTTTTATGTTTGAGTGCGTCCAAGTGTGCACATATGGGTGTTTGTGTGCACATGTATGCCTTATTTGTGCAAGGGATATGTTATTGGCTTTTTTAGTTACTCTTTTATTTGTTTTAGCAAGTTTTATTTCTTCTTTTTGTTCCCTAATTAGAAACTAGGTAAGAGATATAGGCATCAAATTAGATTGTCAAGTCAAATACACGTTACTCCAATTTAGTTGTGCAGTATATGTTATTGGCTTCAGTTTTACTGTAATATTCTTGTACATAAGGACCATATAACAGATATTTTTCAGGCTATCTACTGTTATTGTTAGATATTACTAGTATTTAGATCTAATAGATATTATAAGACATTATGAGATAGTGTGAGATGTAGTTACATATGATTTTATCTCGTACATTTTTTTAAATATCCTCCTAATCTCTATTTAGGAGAGATGAGGGTTTTTATTGGCTTACCCGCCTTGGGTTTCTTTGTATTGGCTAGCTTGCCTAGGGTTTTTTCTACTGGTTTATCTGTCTAGAATGTTTCTACTGGCGTACCCACCTAGGATGTTTCTACTAGCATATAGTGTTTTTACTGGCTGACCCGTCTAGAGTTTCTACTAGGTGTGACTACACTTTTTTGATTGTTGACGTCGTCAAATATTCTGGACAAAGATGACATTATGAAGCTCTTGCAACTAGCTGTTTTGTTTCCATTTGTAATAAGCTGGACATATATAGTATGCTCTTGCAACTAACTATTTTGTTTTCATTTGTAACAAGTTAGATATATATAATATATATGCTCCAGCTTGAGGGGAGTGTTACATATTATTAGTATTTAGATCTAGCATATTTAGATCTAGCATATATCATAAGATATTACGAGCTATTGTGAGATGTGATTAGATATGATTATATCTTGTACCTATTTGTAATATCCTCATAATCTCTATTTAAGAGAGGTTAGGATTAGATAAATAATAATCTTGGCCTTTTTTATTTCTCTACAGTTGTCAACAGTTGTTTTCAGCTATTCAACGTATGATATAATTTAAAAAAAAAAATTTTTGGCTCTTCAATTTTTTTATTTGACAGATCTTGCAAAGGGTCGCTTCTGTGAATTTCAAGTATAAAGTTTGAAAGGATCCAGAATAATCATATATATTCCTGATTTTTATCTGCTCATCATGTTGTTTTGAAAACCTAATTTTATATGATTTTATTGAATACATAAAGCCCAGAATTTTTGCCTCTCTGTGTGGCTGTGAACACTTATATTTGATAGATGTATACTAACTATGCTTTTTTCCTATATATTTGGTGTCATTGTCTGCATAAACTGCTTTCTTGGCTGTTTTTCTCTTGCTTTCTGTGTAGAACGTTGGCATTTACTGACAATGTTGATTTTCTATTGTTTACAGGTACTAATGTTAACAAAGCACATTCCCAATAGTGCAGCTTATATACTGGATTCATTACGAACATCTGAACTACTTGAAGTGCAGGTATTCTTTTGCAGATATTAGTGTGATGCTACTTTTAATTATCGTTTAATAATAAGCTGATAACGATTTCAATGTTTATCCTTCATCAATGACCAACGTTTTAGCTGTGAACAAATTTTCACTGTAGACTCAAACCAACTTTTAATTACCAAAATCGACCCATTTTTTTTAATTACCAAAATCGACCCACTTTATGCCACGTAAGCTTAATCTCATTTCCTAATTAGTCGGGGTTGCCAACTCCGACTGTTTAGGAGGTTGTTAAACCCTAATTAGAAGCCTTAAACCCGATTTTTAATGCCCTAAACAGTCGAGGTTGGCAACCCCGACTAATTAGGAAAAGTGATTAAGCTTACGTGGCATAAAGTGAGTCGATTTTGGTAATTAAAAAAAAGGGTCGATTTTGGTAATTAAAAGTTGGTTTGAGTCTACAGTGAAAATTTGTTCTTTTAGCAGTTATATTATCCCCACTAAAAAAAAGAACGCTCGTCTCATAAATGAGAAAAAGGATTGATAAGAGTGATCTTTATTATGTATTTGTACCTATGTTATGCATATGGAAGTTTTGCTTAAAGTTCCGTTAAGGGCAATCTCCTGAGGATTAGTATATCCTTCTTAATTTCTTCCAACCAAGTTCTCTTAGGCCAACATCTAGTCTTATTTTCTCTATTAATTATAATATCAATCATAGTCTTGCATTTAGTAGCTTCATTGCTCATGGTTTAAATTAGTAGCTTCATTGTACCTTCATTGCACATTGTTTAAATTTTCAAAGTTGGGGAGGGATCACTACCATATCATAGAGCTGGCCATGTCAATAATAAAAGACGTAAACAATAAAGCGGCTTTTTGGCATTAATGATATCCTTGTATGTATTTTATGCTGAACATGTTTTTTCCCCTGTTTTTCTAAAACTTTAGCATTCCATTGCTTCGGGCCACTCCAAGTTTCTTCTTTGTTGCTTGCAGGGTGACATGATAAGAAGACGCGGTGACTGGGCAAATTGGTTACCACGTTCTCAATCTAGCCATCAAAGTAGCCTTGCTGCTGCAAATGTGGACAGTGTAGTGGATCACATGCAGAATGTGATGTTAGGAGAGAGGACGAGTAACAATAGTTCTGGCGGTTCTTCAGATCAATGATTGTTTGTGAGAGCTAAAAGGTAAAGTTTTTTTGGGGAGAAAAGGGGGGTTTAAGGATATCTTTTGGTATCAGGGTCTTTGGATTAAGAGAGAAAAATTAATAAAAATGATAAAAATTTAAAAAATAAAAAGTTAAAAAAAATGAAAAACATAAAAAAGAAAAAAAAATCACTAGGTAGAGCGTCATCAAGTGAGTTGTACAGTTTGTTTTATCTTGGGGGATGGTGCTTTCAGATGGAAGTCGTGCATATTTAAGTCTATATGGGCTGAGGGCTTTTTTGTGCACCATCCTTAAATTATTTTTTGGGTCATATGCCCTCCATTTTTGGGGAGGAACTGAACAGAGGCTATTGTCATGTTCCTAGAGTCGGAGGAAGTGGAACCAATTAGTTTAATTATTCTGGAATCTTTGAGAACTTCTTATGTTATATAGTAGGAATTGGTGACAGGTACTTCATAAATTTCCCAAAATTTGTTGGGATAGACGATCAGGAATATATATTTAGTTTAAAAAACTTTTGAAACATATGCTTGTCAGTTTTGTGATTTTTGATGAGTCTATGTTGTGGAGGTCTTGCTGAGGTATTCTTTTATTCAGCCCTTGAAAGTTCGGGGACCATTTTTCGCTGATGTAGACTTTGGTGAATATGTTAATGTGTATGAAAAGAATGGGTATGAGTTTTCTGTTTAATTTGATAAATGAGCTATTAAGAGAGATTCATGATGATGAATGGAACCGTAGTGTACCTTACCAGTTCTATATCTTGGTAGCTTATTTTGTAAAATGAGCGGACAACTCATATTCAGTATTATTACTGTTGTATATTTGTGTCCTATAAGCAAACTATTTGAGGCAGCATGATGGAAGCTGAATATTCCAGGAGTGATTGGACTGTTGATGAATAGTTCTGGTTATGAGCATGCTGTTGGTATAAGCAATTATGCACTATGACACGAGACTAATAGTGCATAGATGTGTCTCTTGTTACAGATGGTCAAGAGATTTTGAGAGGGAAAACATTCAGCTTTTAGTGCTGTATTCTTTAGCGTTTGATTACTGAAGAAACAGTGATACTCCGTTTTTGGGCATATTTTGCTAACAATCAGGCATGCAACCTGATTCTTGACGTGTAATCTGGTTTGAACGTGCAATCAATTCATGAGGGTTTCATGAATAGAATTTAGGATATTGTGGGCAGGGTTTTGGTTGTTTCAGAATTGATTTAGGTATGCTATTTGATTCTCATCGGGGCAATGTGGTGTTTGGAGAACATTGTCCCCTCCAAGTTGGGCCGATACGGCGGATAAATCGAGATAACTGCAAATAGAGGTTGTTTGGTTAGTTGTAACCGTAATTGCAATGCAAATGTCTGTTGCATCTATTATAGTTGCTGTAACTGCTGTTGCATGTTGGTCTGGCTGTTTGATTCATTTTTAAAAATTTATGACTTATTGCTACTATTTATGGCTGCAAGTGTTTGCTTTGCTCATTTGGTTTCTTTGCCTCTGGTAGAAATTAGTTGCAAACTCTTACAACCTAAAAGGATTGCAATTACCGCTTACATCTAGATTTGCGTTTAATGTGCAAAGACTGGCAATTTATGCTCACATGTGAATGTTCTATAGCACACGCTCAATGATAAAAACCATGGAGGAAACATGCAGAGAAACATAGGCTGGCCATGACTGGCTTCATATTTTAGTTTAGATCTCAAATTTCGGATGGGATATGATTTTCAATGTTATAAGTTCAGCTCTCTCTTCTTCTTCTTTTGTTTTAAACGTTAAACTCGTACGTAAACTCTAACAAGGAATTCATGACAGCTCATGGATCTTATAATCATAGCATATTATATCTGAAGGACGTTAGTAAGTTTGTAGTACACTGGTGATATTCAAATCCTACTAAAGGTAACTAGATTTTAGAAGTAATTTCGGATCTATTAAAATATCAAAAGAGACTTTTATTGCTAAATAAAATAAAATTATTTGGAAATGGACTAAAGTAAGCAGTCAGATATTTTACCACGTGATACTCGTAAGTGTAATGAACTCCCAAGTAAAATCTCTGCAGATTTTGACCAGCAAAAGGAAAATATTTATAAGAAATACAAGAAAAATGATTCTTGAAACTAATATTTGAAAGTACATACGAATTTACTTAAGAATAGGGCGTATATAATAAAAGAGAGTGCTAATTGCAGATATACCCCCTGTAGTGTGCCTAATTGCAAATAGACCCCTTTTGACTTGGAAAAATCAACCAAAAAAAAAAAAAAAAAAAAAAATTTTTTTCAAAAATGTGCCTAATTGCAAATAGACCCCTTTTGACTTGGAAAAATCAACCAAAAAAAAAAAAAAAAAAACTAATTCTTGCTAACAGTCATAGCTTGTAAGATTAAAGGATAAAATTATACTCATTTTGTCTTCTTCATCTTCATGTATTCATCTTACAACCTCGTGTCCTATCCTATACATAACTCCTTATAATCTCTCTGTCAAACTCTCTTCTCTTCTCCTAAAATCTTCTCTCTCCCTTGTCCATGTTTGCTATATCCACTCCCAAACAGTAATTTTGGGAGTTGGATTGCCGAAAATGCCCTTTTGATATTAAGGGTGTTTCTGGAATGGGCTTGGCCTGTTTTGGTTTGGGAGAAGAGCAATTTAGTCCTCACACACCCCCAAAGTTACTGTTTGGGAGTGTGAATAGTTGGACCCGTCACTACTCTCTCGCCTATTTTTCTTCTTCTATCTCCTTTCCTTTTCCATTTGGACTAGGCTAAATTGCAACTAAATGCCCTATAGTTTCACCAACCTTACACTTAAGCGACCTTTATTTTAAAACCAAGCAAATAAATGCCTCAAAATATTTAAATATTACAAATGAATGCCCAAAATTTTAAAATGTTATATTTTGGTGCCTTCTTATTTACCCAATGTTGCATATAAATACCCTCATGATTAGCATAAAAACATACAAGTTGCAAGAGTAGAACTATCAAATATAATATGTAAGATATTAAACCCATAAGGAAGATGTGTGCTTAGAAGTTCTACCCGAAAAGTATGGACAAAAAGAAGTGAAAGTGGAAGTTATGGAGATATAGAGATGAATTTGTCACAAAAATAAATAAAAAAATAAGAGTGAAAAAGAAAAAAAAATGAGGATATAACTAAAAAGAAAAGAAAACAAAGAGGAAAATAAAAAGAAATAACAAGAAGTGGAAACAATAAAAGAGAAAAAAGTGGGAAGAGAAGAAAATCAACTAAATAAAATCAAGAAGAGAGAAATCAATAGAGGAAGAACAAAATCAAATCAAGAAAGGTTAGTGGAAGAGCAATTAGAGAAGTTAAGAATCTAGGATTGAATCCACTAGTTAAATTCAATTAAGATTTGATTTATGAAACTACTCTTTTTTTAATCATATTTTCCTTTAGATTTACTAAACATAGACTATCAAACCACTTAGGAAGTATAATCTATCAAATTATCATCTAAGCAGAACTTTTCATTCATGAAAAGAACAATTAACTTAATAATAATCTAGAAGTGAATAAATACACTTATAAATATATATACTTATAACTATATAATATAAATACTAAGTATATGTATTTATAAACTTACATGTATATAGTTATATACACTTACATGTATATATTTATACATTTACATATATATATATATATATATATAAGGATGTAAATATATACAAGTGCAGTTTTATACGTGTGTGTGTGTACTTATATGATTTACATATATATACTTGGATACAATATATTTTAGATAGAGTATTGTTGATGTCAGTTATCAAACAGTGGGTTACTTGAGAGTTTGTGGAGTAATTAGGGTCCTCTAACTCCTTTTAATGAGTGGTTCTAGGGCTCGCTGTTCTTCCATGCACATGAAGGAACTCGTCAGAGGACGGAGTTGGGTTCTCCGATTGTTCTTCCAACAACCAAGAAGGTCCGAGAGAGTTACCTCGTACAATGCCGCTCCTTTTATAGTGGGTTTTAAGGGCAAGAAGATAACTTGGGCCTAGTCCAGCTAGGCACCTGAGTCGGCAGACATGTGCCATGTGTCGGTTGCTGAAGGATGTGAGTCACCTGGTCATTTATTGTGAGAATGACAGCAGGTGCTTGGTGCTGACTGGGTCTGATGAGTCATAAAGACTATGGAGGCTAGAGTAATGATAACGTTGTCGAAGTAGTTAATGTGAGAGTAATCGACTGGCGAGGGGTTTGAGGTCACTACCGTCATTCGACTCGTCAGGTCTAGGGATGAGAAATACAGCCTTTTGACTCGGTTATGCGAGATGTCAGCTGAACAGTGGGCCGAGTCGGATCGCTTGTGAAGTCAATTGAGGGGTTGGCCTAGTAGTACCGCCTTATGACTCGGCTACGCAAGTTGTCAGCCAATCAAGTTCAATTGAGGGGTTGGCCTAGTAGTACCGCCTTATGACTCGGCTACGCAAGTTGTCAGCCAATCAAGTCACTCGTGCTAAGATGGAGGTTACATTGGTCTTGAATTAGTCTGGTTAGGCATAATGTAAGACACGTGTTGACTTTTCTATGAAGATTAATATTTAGTAATTTAGGGGTTATAATAAGTATACTTACACACACGCACACGCATAATATATATATATATCTATATAGATATATATATATATATCTATATATCTATATATCTATATATATAGAAAAACACACACACACACATACATACTGTTATGGTGTTCCCATTTTCGTCAAAATACAATTTAAACTCGATGTAAAACCCCGTGAATTTTTAAAGAATAGTGTGATTTATATATTGATGAATGAGTTCTAATTATGATAAATATCATTTATAGATGAATAATTTTGTTCACAATTGATTTGAGATCAATTGAGAGTATATATGCATTATACACCGATGCAATTCAAATCGAAAAAATGACCAGTTAAGAGTATATATGCATTACACACCGATGCAGTTCGAATCTGGAAAAACTTAAAAGACAAATGTTGTAGACCTCCTCAATAGCTTTCTAATAAATCTTAAATCACCTTATTCTGAGATCGAAAGAAAAATTTACAGGCAAAATACCAAAGACTATTTTCCTAGTCTAACTGGGTTTCCTGTTTCGGGTTTTAGGTTTTGGGCTGTTTGTATTCGGGTTCCTACCTATATATACATGTTTTTGTCACGAAAAACACACCTTTTCTTTAGTGTTCCAAACCCTAGCAGACCCTCAAACCCTAGCCCAAAATTTGAGTTCTTGGGAGAGTTTCATGAGGCGAAAAGCGAGGAGAAGGCAAGATTTGTGGCGTTTAGCATCGAGGGATCGTTTGTTGTTCGTTTCAGAGGGTTGTGCACGTAATAGGCAAGATCACCTCTGCCCAAAACTTTCCCTAATTAAAAATCAAGTTTTATGTGTTAATTATGATAATTCTCATGCTTAAAATTTATCTAATGTGTTAGAATCTAATTTATGATGTTTAAATCTTAAATTAGAGCGATAAACAGTAGAATAATTTTGTAATTGATTAGTATACATGATCATGATCATTAGGGTTGTTTTAACATATTAGTTTATGCTTTAATTTGGTTCATATGCACTAATTTGTCGAGATAAACAAGATTTAGTTAATTTGAATGTTAAACCCTAGATTCATGCATCTATGTGATATCATCTTGTTTAAACAAACCTATGGTTAAGTATTCATGAGTATTGAATCAAGTTTTATTCATATAAGTTAATAAAAAACCGAGCTTTAAAGAAAAACAAGCAAAAACCCTAATCTGTAAAATTTTGATCTGTTCAGTCGACTGATGTT